TGTGTGTGTGTGTGTGTGTGTGTGTGTGTGTGTGTGTGTGTGTGTGTGTGTGTGTGTGCGTGTGTGTGTGTGTTTGTGTGTGCGCGCACTCGTGCGTGTGCGTGTGTGTGTGTGCATGTAAATATATAAGATATCAGTAGGATATACATGTTTGTCATATAACATAACATTATGTTTAGTAAAATTGTACTGTTCATGCTCAAGACCTACAGCTACTACTATGCTTACCTTCATTTATGAACTACTTGTAACGAAGTATAATTAGTACGCTCATATATGCACTAATTTGTAAAACTGTTTATGCCATTTATCTGTTTGTACCATCACTGAACCATGTTACCATCACAGTCACAGTGTTGTAGATATTCTGTATAACGTATAATATAATGTAATGTACATATGTGTTTCTGGAAATAAAAAACATTATAAAAATAAAAAAGAGGAAAAAACAACAACAGCGGTAGTGATGATGAGTTTGACGAGGAAGACGAACTTCCTTGGAGTCACTTCATCACAACACCCAAGTCGCAGGCTTCAGCGGATTCTACGGAGCAACCGCAGCTGCCAATGTCTCGTGCAGTTGATCCAATCGCGAAGGATCCATCTGCGAGTGACCTTGAGGCTCAGGAGCCTGATGACGCAATCATCTACACCCTGGCGGAGGCGGAGAGTACAGCCACAAGCCTTGACATGGAAGAAGATTTATTGCAGAATACGGACGGTGAACGAGATTCGCAACCGTCCAAGACGCGAAAGGCTTAACGGGAATCAAGCGAGTCAGATTCTCCAGTAGAGGCAGTTAAAAAGGGAAGATTAACAGCGCAAGATAAACGTTATAACGACGGCAGTGAAGCGAGCAAGGCTGCACGAGAAGATGACAACGGCTCTAACGAGGACGCATCGAATTGCGCCCACTGGCATGGTACAGGAGCCACTAGGATACGCCGCAGCAAGGCAAGAGGGAGGAAAGCGCCTAAGGAACAGAGTTAAAGGACTCTTGGCGAACGCATGGACGAAACGTTGAGAGATTCACTGTATCTCCTTCCATTGTGTCCGTGCCTTTCCCCTACCACTCCTCCCCTTTTCATGAAGGCTTGAAATTAGCACTAAGCGTAAAATTAGCACTGAGCACGCATGTGAGTGTTGTACGCGCATGTTTCACGGGAACGCGAGAGTGAATACCACGATGATCAGCTATGATTATCAGTGTTGTACACGCATGCGATTCGGTAACGGCTACCACGATGGTCATGAGTTATGATCATCACTGTGTGCCCGCGTGCAATTTGAGTGCGATTTAATTTGAACGCGACTATGGCCATTACGATAAGCATAAATATGATTATCAGAGTTATTTCCGGGATTTGAATTGGATTCCGACTGCTATTGTATGTTTACACGCGCGTTAGTTACGTTGGTTAAGGGTACCACGTTAGTTAAAGCTTAGTTAAGGAAAGATTAGTTTACATATCGCGATCATAGTGCACGAATTCACGTAGTAGTAGTAGTAGTAGTAGTTGAAACTAGTTGTAAGCGCGAAACGCTATGCGCAACGGCATACGCGACATAATTGTACAAGTAGGTACGTGGAACCACGTACTTATGTTAGTTAAGGAAACTCTAAGTTTATATATCACGAGTATAATGAATGAGCTTCCTTTGCGATTTAGGACAACAGTTGCTGCCATTTGAGAGCAAGCAACTTTTTCTGGTAGAGGGCGAGTGTAGCAGCGTACAACGCGTGCTACGCGATTTTAAGCTATCTATTAAATTACCTCTAAGTTAAGTTATAAGTCATACGTCTATGCCTATTGTTAAGATATCCTTCAGCGCGATGACTTCATTGCTAAACCTGAGCGCGGTTAAGATTGGCCTTAGAAACACAGGCAGCGCGCACTGACCTATTATTGTTACGAAGTGATTATTTCCTCGGCAAGCCGGACAACTAAGCCAATAAATCAAACTAGCTTCTCCGGCAAAAAGCAGACTATGCCGCCAAACTCCATGCCGGATAAGCCCTTGGAGAGGCAACTAGGTCCTATAACACAACGGACATGACGGGGATGTCAGACATTGCTAAAGACGTGTACAGATGTTGCACATCCTATTCTGCTGAGATTAGGCTTAGGGTTAGGGTTAGGGTTAGGGTTAGATACATCCTGATACATGGCTGGGTAGACCACGTGGCCGTCTTCCCGCCTAATACAGCGGCGGCGGGACACTTCGGTCTGCCGGAGAATTTAACTATGATTTTCAGCACTGCTTCTACGGGCAAAGCCGGAGACGCAGTGCTGAAAACGTACACTTGTTTCTCCGGCGCCGGTGATCTAACAAGAAAATTTGTTCTTAATTCTCCGGCGGCAGGAGAACTAACGATGGTTTTCACCGCTGCTTAATACCTACAGTTGTTTACTCGAGTCTTACTCGGTTACATTGGGATCTATACAAATAAATGTATTGTGATACTAAGTGGGTTATAGGTGTCAACTAGTCAAATTTAATGGGTAAAAGTTAATTTTTAGCTCATCTGACGAAGTCAGATGCAGCTTGTAGACTCGCATGATTGTCAGTGCGTCTGTCCGGCCGTCCGTCCGTGCGTCCGTCCGTGCGTCCGTCAACAGTTGGGCACAAATCTGAACCGCTCGACGTACGGTCACGATATTCGGGACGTGGAGGGATCATGAAAAGGACTCAGAATGATCAATTTAGGGGTCAAGGGTCAAAGGTCAAGATGTGTAAACGGAGGGGGAATATTTCCCCCTTAACTTAAGGTATAGGAGGAAATACGGAATTGTGGCACAAATCTGAACGGCTCGACCTATGCTCTTAATATTCGGTGTATAGTGTGATGGGCAGGAAACCCATCACCAGTGCGAAATTGTAGGTCACAGGTCAAAGAGCAGTGGGGGAAAAGTCAGATATCAGACATTTTCTGAGGACATGGCCTAACGGACAGAGTGAAAAACTTTTTTGTTTCAGCACTGACCTACCATTTTTATCACTTTATTGAAAGGACAATGAAATATGCTTTCCACTGACGTGCGAAGAGTAAGTGTCTGATAACCTTTTGACCCTCAAGAGGAGGGTTAAACATGGATTTTTATGTCTGTTAACAAAGGACTGAACTGCTTTTGCTATTATTAGAGCCCATACCTGTGTGGATGTGAGGCTACATTTGCAGTTCAATTGCAAAGACAAAAGTTTGTTGAACAAGGTTTACACTCCTTAAATCATATTATTTTCTAAAGCAGTCTGTACACTCCCTGAATGCTCGCGTGGCTACCGTCATCCGAAATGTAGGCAAAAACCCGGGGGCATCCCATTACTCATGCATGGGGGTGAACTGGCACTTTTCAAATAAACATGCACACCTGCAATGCAGATGTGTTTAATTTAATACTACACACGGATTTTTGCCTGTAAATTTCAGCAACTCAATAGAATTAGGTTATCTCTACTTTCTTGACTTATCACCAATGCACGAAGGGCGATGCTATCTTTGATTATTGATTACACTTGCACGAGCCATCTCGCGGCAACTATAGGCCTAGTGATACATTATGACACGAATTATATCAAGACAGTCGAGCAGGTATGAAGTAGGATGCATTGTTAGGGTTTAGTTTTAGTGTTAATACCTATGCTACACAGTTTTGATGATGACGTAGCCGGTTTAGCGATAGAACAGGCTTCAACCATTTGCAGAAACGAAGGCCAGTACAGTAGAGCAGCAGACCTCAGATGAGCACTGTCGCTAATGCGGCACTTGTTTGTGTAACCATTAAAATGTAATTATATAACCTTTTTTAAGATAAAAACTCATTGATGGTTTGTAAACTACTGAAACACTCTACTACTGTAACAGTTTTAGTTAACACTATAATTTCAAGACACGGGTCATCATCCTAGTATCTAGATTGGATGAATCACACCACGGAGATAATTAGTCATAATTCCCAACACCAGAGACGAGTTTGTTACAAATCTCATTTTATTTGATTGATGTTATGGAGATATACACTGTATTTTGTATGAATTCAACAAACAATTGAAGTGGAAACAGGAAACAGCATCTAAGCATGTTAAAAAAAAGAAAAGAGGCGAAGCTTCGCATCGCCATTTTGTAACCCCCCTCTGCCCAACCTCTGGATACGGCCCTGTTGTCGCAACCTACAACCATGTTTTAATTAACTTACAATGGAGTAGAATTTTCGTTATAACATACACCTTAGTAGCGCACAGAGCACGCGCCTAACGCGTGCCCTTGGTTTCCTAACTGCGTAGTTGCGTTGCCAGGGAAAAGAAAGACGGACGCTGAGCCCAGACGGGCCCGAGATAGAGCTTGGTGCAATGCGCATCTCGCACGATATAAAAAGGGCCGCGCCGGCGGCGAGAGGAGAGACAGAAGAAAACGGTTAAGAGAGTGAGTCCGCGCACGAAACGAAACGAAATAACGGGTTAAGAACAATAACACAACGCAAGGTTTAGAACATTACCACCTATACGATCACGTGCCTACACACAGTCGGGCACCTCCCGACGTGTCTCATAAACTGTCTATAACATTTGTACACATAGAACCCTTGTACACAATGGTCACCAAAAAAACGATAACGTAACAATTACTAAATAGTATTCGCGTCATCATTTGCGCTATTACTAATAGAGACCAACAAATGTAAAATAGTGCGGGGGCATTCCGTATACATATGTATGGCAGTGGATATGTGAACAAAAGCATGATAGTGATGGACATTGATTATAGCAGTCATTCAGCAAGGTGCTGTTCGTGCAATTAACACAGGTAAAAACAAGTGTTGGTCACCACAGGTAGCTCATCATTTAATTGCAACGGCACACATTAATTGTTCGTAAATGGATGGGTCACGCATACATACATGCAATAGAAAAAACAACAAGCAACAGCTAGTGTTCTTCCAGAGGTGTTGACTCTGCAGTTGCGTTTGCTGATACTGCTGTCACCATTAGCACTGCTGTCACCATCGGTGTTGGTGTTGGTGTTGGTGGTGGTGGTGGTAGTAGTGGTGATGGTGGTGGTGGTGGTGGTGGTGTTGTTGTTTGTTTTTGTTGTTGTTGTTATTGTGTGTTTGTTGTTGTTGTTGTTGTTGTTTGTTGTTGTTGGTGGTGTGGTGACTGGGTGTTGGTGGTGTGGGGTGTGTGGTGGTGGTGCTTGGGTGTGGTGTTGTGTGGGTGGTCGTTGTTGTTGTTGTGTTGTTGTTGTTGTTGTTTGTTGTTGGTGTGGTGGTGGTGGGTAGGTGTTGGTGTTGAGGTGGGTGCGTGTTTGTTGTGTGTTTGAGTGTGGTGGTGCGTGGTGGGTGGTGGTGGTGGTGTGTTGTTTATGGTGGGTTGGTGTGGTGGTGGATGGGGTGGCCCCCTGGTGGTGGTGGTTTGGTGGTGGTGTCGTGGTGCGTGGTGGTGGTGGTGTTGGTGGTGTTGGTGTATGGTGGTGGTGTGTGGTGTTGTTGTTGATTGTTGTTTGTTGTTGTTGTTTGTGTTGTTGTTGTTGCGTGGGTGGGTGGTGTGGTGTGTTGGTGGTGGTGTTGGTGTTGGTGGTGTTGTTAGGTGGTGGTGTTCGTTGTTGGTGGTGTGGTGGTTGGTGTTGTGGTGGTGTGGTGGTGTGTGGTGTTGGTT